AAAATATCCTCCAATTTCTCCTATCACTTCATCAATCCAGACTTAAGCCATCATCTGTTCAAGTTTATATCGCTGCAATTGCCTACTATTGCGGCCAGGTGCGGAGTTCTTCGGCTTTTTCTCATACCTTCATACGTCGATTCCTCACGGGTTTGCAGAACCTTCAACCACCAGTTTGACCTGTTATCCCTACTTGGAGCCTCTCGGTCATTTTCCAGGCACTCACTCGAGCTCCTTTCGAGCCCCTGGCAACTACTGACTTACGCCTCCTGCCTTGGAAGACTGCCTTTCTCGTCGCGGTCACGTCTGCCAGAAGGGCAAGTGAACTCTGCGCACTCCGGATAGATCCTCACCTTAACTTTCATAAGGACAAAGTTGTTCTCCGTACCAATCCGGTGTTCTTACCCAAGGTTGTGTCTCCTTTTCATATTAACCAGGACATTGTCTGACCGGTATTTTTCCCTATGCCCACTACACCGATAGAACGGTCATTACATTCTCTTGACGTTTGTCGGTACCTTGCTTTTTACAGGTCTCGCACGGAGTCCTTCCGTAAATCTTACCGCCTCTTTATGAAATACTCGGACCATGATAAAGGCTCTCCTGTTGGTTCGCAGGGACTTTCGAAGTGGATTGTGCAGACCATCGAACTAGCGTATCATTTTGCCAAGCTTGACTTACCTGTCAGGCCCAGAGGGCATTCCATGAGGGCGGTAGCAGCTTTCTCTGCCTTTGCCGCTGGCATCCCGATCCAGGACATTTGCAAGGCTGCCACTTGGACTACTCCTTGCACCTTTGCCAGACATTACCGCCTTGATGTGCGTGCCAGGCACGATTGCTCCTTTGGGCGGGCAATCCTTTCTTCTGTTCTTCAATGACGACACCGCCCGCCTCCAGGTCTGGTAAGCTTGCTAATCACCCATATGTGTGATGCACAGAGGCCACGGCGAAGAAAGGCAGGTTGCTCACCTGTAACTGTCATTCTTCGAGTGGCCATCTGTGCATTCACACAACCCACCCATCAGCCCCGCTTGGTGTCGGTGAGTGCGTTTATACGGTACCGTTTCTCCTCGATACCGGTTCTGTTAGTATTTTTTCTCTATGATTCTAGAGCTCTCTGCAATTTCTCTCGCTCCTTCGAGGGGGCAAACATTCAGTCTCCAGTAGACTGAGAAAATGGGGGGCACTCCGCCCTTTTATACCATGGGGGGGAGGGGTGCGGACTTCCCGCCAAAACCATTAAGCTTTAAATCTTTCTGGCCATAAGCACTGCGCAGGCGCAGCACCCATATGTGTGAATGCACAGACGGCCATTCAAAGAACGACAGTTACAGGTGAGCAACCTGCCTTTCTCATGGACTAGGAACCGAGATCACTTTAGTCCCAGACTCATGCTTTTAACCACTATACCTCACAGGCTCTCTTTAGGACTTATCACGAATGTCACGGATAAAAATCGTGATGTTCTTTACTATCCACCCAAGACTTGAACCGGCACAGCCATGCAGCATGGCTACTATATTTTGGTACTGTTCACAACAGCATATAAATGCCCTGATGACTTGCAACCTATGTCCTAGGATGCTCCAGAAACCTATCAAAAGTCAATATGCATGTTGAAGGGCATTTGTCAAAGGGAAGATGCTCTGGAAATTACGACAACTGTCATTAGAAATAGAAAAGTTACTGTTCCCTTTCCTCTGTTGCAATTAAGGAGTAGGGTCTTATAAAAGGGTCTTCAGCTTTAGCTGCAAGAGGGCTCCTGGCATTAGCCACCATAAGATATTGTGCAGCTATTCTTTGTTTTCTTTCTTAACCTATTTTTTGCAGTAAGAGAAAAGATGGAAAAAGTACTAGGAAACACAGCAGGGTAAGGTGTTGAAGATGTCATCATCTGGACCATCCCTTAAATTCCATAAATAAGGCACAGTGATGGTGTCATAAAGGCTTTGTCTTGGGGCATCAAGTACCTCTCCACAAGTAAGTTTGTGTGCAATGCCAGTGCCCAACACCTGGGTAGATTTTCACCTATCCTTAAAATTGGCTTGGTTCAGACAACATGGTAACTCATTTTCAGTGGGTGCATGTGGGATGTCATTGACCCATGGGTTGCCATGGCTTGTTTACCATGAATAACCCATAAAGACAATCCAGGGTTTGCAGCTGGGTTATGAACTGTGGGCAGCCAACACAATAATCTATGTTTCAACAACAACCCATGTCTTAGCAACAAACCACACTGAACCCTTGAGTATAGGTTATTGTCCTGTCTGGACCCAGTTATTCTTATTAAAACCTAGAAACAATCATGGCGGGAGCAGGACCACAGGGTTCCAGATTCAATCATTGCTTTCTCCAGATAGGGCTAGGGAGGAGTCCTGTCTGAAACCTGAAGTGCCAATGCTGGTCAATGCAGACAATACTGACAAGTCAATGATCTGACTCATGTATTTTGCAATAAGGCAGCTTCCTATGTAATATGTTGTATCTCCAAGCATGACATTGCATGCAAGCTTCCTTTAGCACTTGCTTTTTGATAGTTAATATCTTTCCTGAGATGGCCAATTAGCTAAGTTTCATTACAAGACTTTGAATGGAACAGCTGTTCAATTTGAAGAGCTGTGATTGCAGGTTCTTCCCATTGCAGTGTGAGCCAAGCTCCTATCCAGCACTGCAGCTTCCATAAATACTGCAAAATATGAAGCAGGCAATCAAATGCTGGATCAGCCACAAAGTCTTGTCCCTCCTTCATGAGATGGAGGAGTTATCACCCATTTTTATTTATTGTGTTAAGTAGTGTATACACATGTGTATATCCTTATTTTATCAAGAAACAAGATCAAAAATTAAAAGGAAGTTGTAAAAGCTGTTCTAGGAATTGAAGAACAGACCTACATCAGAGCTTTTAACTAACTTTTAACATAACTTTTTTTAGAACAAGCCTGACTTGTATATATATGTACAGAACAATAAAACTGCCACTGCCATTCTGGCAATAGTAAGCTTGTGTGTCCTCTTAGGGTTGGTTCCAGACTTTAGGTATTTCCTGAGTAATCATGACAAGTTAGTCATGGTTAACTTAATTTGCATATTTTTCAATAGCCTGGTTCACACCTATCACTAATCCATAATATGGATTACTGAATTCTGGATTCTTGTGATTTGTGAGTTTAGCCATGCTAACAAACCATGGTTATTAACTACAAACAGCACAGAAAGTTGTTGTGATTTTTTGATCTTTAAACCATGGGTTATTTTACATGTGAATTCAGAACTATGAGTTGTCCATGGGTTGTTTCACTAAGCTACAGAGATAGCAGGCAAGAGCTCCTCCTCCCGAAAAATGCCACTCTATACGGTACTACAGTACCACAAAGGCATTTGGAATACAGGGAGAGAACAGAGGAAAAAGGAAGGAAACAACCCAGGAATTGAGAAACAAACCATGGCTTGTTCAATCATCTGCCAGACAAACCTGAGTAGGATAACAACTCATGGTTTAAATGGGTTAGTGTGGTGTGCAAACCAGGCCAATATGTTTGCTCTAAGGATGACTAAGTCTGCATCCAACCTTTAGTCAGAGGTAGACTGACAGCACACACTTTCCAAATTCTTGGTGGTGGGGAAGAGTACTATCTTTAGAAGGAGCACAGGTTTGCCAACTTTTCATTGTAAAATTCCTGGCCCTCATTCTTTACTTTGTTGAAACGTTGATAACTTATTGCAGGAGAAATTGATCAGACAGGTTCCTTCCTTCAATGTCTTGGGAAACCAAAGAATGTGAGCTATTCTTGGATGGTCTAGGATAGGAAATGCACAACCCATATGAAATTACACTGAAATAACCAAGTATTTGGATCATACAAATAGCATGAAACTTGTCCGATGATATGAGACTCTGGCTTCACATATTAACAGTACTTTTCCATGACCACATAACAAATGACTAATTGTTTTTTGCATCTGGACTTTCCCAATGTAAGCACCAAGTTGTTTTGGAAACTTATGTCAAACTGCAAAGATTTATTCACTTTGATTCATTTTTAAAGACTGCTGGTCTGACATCTTCCAGACAAATTAGTATAATGAGCCAGTAGTGCAAGATTTCAAGGATAAATTTCTGCTTTGATAAATGTATAAGTTAAAAAAGCACACAATGCTATGTTGAGTTTAATAAGTTTCCTCTCAGTTTATCACAAAAGAGAAAGATATTTTACAAAAATGTACTATTACATGCATGTATCAGCCTATGATTAAAGAAATATCCATTGAACATCAATTTATCATGTATTTGAAATCTCTTTATTCTATCAAATTGTTACAAATGTATTACTATAAATAAGTCTTTGGAAAGCTTATTCACAATTGTTCAAGAAATTTATGAGATAATACACTTTTTGGCCATAAACAAGCCAGACAAAAAAGGATTTAAATATTCATTTGCTTAAATATACTCATAGTTTTGGGGGAAATCCTGTCTTAAATATCTATAGAAAAACTACGCACATAAACTAGTTTATGGTGCAAAGATATCCAGAAGTGCCTTTCTTTTAGGAAATATTTAGATTAATCAAAGTGCTCACTGAAGGTGCTTCCACTTTACTTTGGAGGCTCTACCTTCCCCCTCTACTCCATTCAGCAGGGTCGCCAACCCTCTGTGCTACATTATCAGGGAACTTTAAGGGCTGCTGTAGGGAGCAGGAGCTATGGAAGTCAACTTTTACTAGCTCAGTTGCACATGCCTAAATTTAGATCAAACTCTTAAATAGCCTCATATATACAAGGTACTTTCGGCATTCTCATTCAAAGTTGTATGCTTTTCGTTTGTTCCACAAACCTTAGCCTTGGCCAGATAGGCACAGTGATGCACAAATCTCAATTTCTGATGACAATTTAGCTTGCCAAACGGACATTCTTTCATAGAGAAATTATTCATTTGCTGAAATTTGGAAAAAAAAAGCCAAGAAACTGCCAAATTTATCCAGAATAGATTACTTTACCTTGTTTGCAACGCAACAAGAGTAAGGAACTCCACAAGCTAGAGGTCCTGGAGCAGAGCAGTCATGGTACTGATTTTTGGACCAGTCTTTAAAATCTTCTCCACCACAACACTTAAACTGCAAGGAGGGAAAAGGCATCACATAAGGCAGCGTTCTTAACTGTTGCAGCGTGTAAAGATTATTGATTTACAAATCTTATTAACAGTAAAAGCTCCTAGTGATTATTACTGTACTGGCCTCATGACATACTTCCTCATGTTCAGAGTATGTGTGGAAGACTTGCTGTAGTATTTTTCCTTACAATCATACATTTAAATGTGAAAAGACTGGGATACAAACTAATCAGATCATTATTCAATGCCACACATACACATGCATGTACACATAAAAACAGGACAGGGAGCAGAAGCTTGGAAAAGACATTTTGCTATTGTTATCTCTAGTCCTGAAGACAGGAAATCGCACCATATGACCATTAGTTGGACCTAGATAACTCTGATGTGCTGGTACACTGATGCAAGTTTTTTCCTGATATTTTATCTATTCTACAATTCTATTTTTGTTTAACCACATTACCGATGTTATTTTTATATTGTCAAGCTACCCTGGAAATATCTGTATTGAAGGGCAGAATATAAATCTATAAATAAATACATCAAAGGCTCCCTTGGCACAAGCCATGTAGGCAGTTTCTCTATCCTCTTAGGAGAGGCAGAGCTCATAAAACAGAAAGCAAAAGAAAATCTGCTGTGTATTTCATGTTGTAAATGTGCAAACTGACCCAAGTACAAAGAACTTAATTGGTTTGCAGTGTCTCAGTTTCACAAAGGCAGGAAGAACTTGTAAAGGACTGCCAAAAAGAACAGACTGCCAAAAAGATGCCAATTTCAGATTATTGAAACAAGGGATATGTTTTAATTACATTTTGTATAATGTATTTTAATGATTTTTACTCATGGTAAAGCACCCAGAGTGCTTTTTCTATTTGATGGTATGGAAATGTAATAAATGAAATGAAAACTGAAATGAAAAAATGCCATTAATGCATTTTAAAGGTAGTATCTTCAGGCAGAACAATCAAGGCCAAAGTTGTGATTTGCCAACAACCAAAAGTAAAGTTAATTTATATTTACTGTATAGCTAAACATCTTGGCATAAGCATAACCAAAAGCATTACAAGGACTCTGAATCCTTATGTATACACCTGATATGCTATGAACTAGTACAAACTTAAAATGATTTGTCTCTGTTTCCCTTTTTAAAGGAAGAAAGCTGCCAGATAAAGGGCAGATTCACCAGAAATAACATCTAAGTTGTCTCTGTCCAGAGAGCCTTTTTGAGTTTATGTGTGGTAAAGAAATTAATTAATTAAATAAATACGTTTTGGTATGGACAGATGTTTTCTTGCACACACCCTTCTGAACTGAACTCATCCAGGAAAAACTGTCATGCAGATTATGATCAAAAACTCCTGGATAACATCAAGTTTATTGAAATGGGAGTTTTCATCTAGATTTATACACGTGCCATCTCTCTGTATGTTAACAAATAAACAACTTTTCCATTGTATTTAACATTTGAGTAGCTTAAGGCAAAAAAGCCCAATAAATGTTTCAACACAAATCCATCACTCTACTAAGCAAGCTATGACATAATAGTCAGCTGTGCTTCAAAGCAATTTCTTAATCTAAATGACATGTTTCCTTAAGCAAGGATTTCAAGTTTAAACAAAATTCTTACTGACTAAAGAATGCAAACTAACAGAGGAATCCTATGCATGCCTAGTCAGAAGCACCAGGCGATAAATCCCATTGAATGGGTTTATTTCTGAGTAGAGATATAAGCGATTGTTCTGTAAATCTTACGTTCTGTGAGTTAAGATATGATCCAATGTTGTTTAATGTCCATCAAACAAATACCTCCCGAACTTTTATCTGCAATTATGTTGCAGAATGAGGTTTTAGGTGATGATTAGCACTATTCAACTGGTGTCTCACTGCTGGCAGAAGACATCCATCAGCAATTCCTCCTCCTCCTATATTCACTTCTTGTTTTGTTCCACAGGGTTACCCAAGCAGATTTGGCAAGCACCAGGGGAAGGGGCTGCAAGGGTGGGAACTGGCCCCTATGGAATATGCTCCCCAGAGAGGTTCGCCTGGTGCTGACATTATATTCTTTTCAGCGTCAGGCAAACCCCTTTTTATGTTCCCATTGTTTTAATGTCTAATTGATTTTAATTGGGGTTTTAGTATATCATGGTCAGATGCTGTGGAAATGTTCTATTCTATTTATTTATTGTAAGCCATCTCAAGACATTCTGTAGGGGATGGGATAGAAAAGCTTTTATTAAATAAATAAATAATACTCTATCCAGCTGATGTATGGCTTTCAACCACAGAAGGACACCAAGCAGATGCCACCCATCAATTCCATTGGGTAATGGGCTGCAAATTAAACCAACTCGTCCAAAAAAGAAATTGAAAAAGAACAATTCCAAGGCAGAAACGAAAGCTGTCATTCTGTCAGAACACCCCAAAGGTACCAAATCCTGCAAATGAACTTTATTTTACTGAACTTGCATCTTGATACAATGCATTTTTACTCCAGTATAATCTTACTGATTCCATTGCAACTTATTCTCCAGGAAGCATGCATAAGATTGCAGCCTTTAGGCTATACTTCTAACATACATTTGATCCTTCCCATTCTATTTGTTACACAAGTGTGTAAGAGTGACTGTGACAGAACCTGGAGATAAGAGGCTACAATTACACTGGTTATTTTTTACAGCCAAGGAACTAGAGATTTCATTCTTTTTTTAAAAAAAAATAGTCAATTACCCAGTTCAAATATACCATCTCAGAATAAATCAGGATCTTAAACCTAGTTCACACTGTGGTTTAAGATCCTGGTACCTTCCAGTCCTGGAATCCATATAATATGAATCTATGATTCTGGAATTATAGAATTATAGCACTGTGAGAAGGGAAGCAGGATGAAGAGGATGGACACAGTCTCGTGCATATCTCAGTTTAAAAAGCCAAGATATGTACATCTGAATCAAGATTCCTCAGGGTAAATTCTTGATTATTCCACAAACCAAATTGAGAAATTGACTCCTCCTGTAATTGGGAAGAAACACCAAATTTTAATATAACTGATCAATGGATAGACTACTTCTGTGGTATTAATTCGAAACACCCAAACCTCCTTTTGAACAAAATCCATTATATTCTTGAAGTCCAAGTCATCATAGTAATTCACAATTCCTCTTCGGATGTTGTTATTTAAAAAATCAATTGTCTAAAAATAAGAAAAAAAAAGTAAGATTAAGTACACACTATGTGGAAGAAAAATGAGATAGCATGAATTCATGTAGCAAATATAATAAAACTAAAAACAATATAAAGATATTGCAGTTTGAATGGCAGGAAATGCAATATTTATCCAGCATTAATAATATTTTGAAGAAAAGCACCTGAATGTACCAAAAGACATCACTAAAAACTGCTCATTTATTTTATGTGTATGAGAAAGTTGCCTTAGTTTGTTAACAGACCTTTATTTACTCCACTGTTAAAAAGCAAATACTTTTTCCTTTTTTTTTTAAGGTATTCAATGTGGACAAAGCTTTGCAAATCAAGGGGCTTGTTTGTCAACTACTGTGACAAAACGAACTTGCAAGCCAGCTCCTACTGCAATAGAAGCACCTCCTGCTTCCAGGGTCTCCAACTACGGTGCAGTGTTTCTTACCAGGGCTTGCAATAGTTCTCATATAGTCTAGACATGTCTACTCACAAGTAAGCGACATTAAATTCAGCCGGACACGCTAAAGTAATTATTATTATTATTATTATTATTATTATTATAACATTTCTATGCCGCCCCTTGCCGAAACCTCGGGGCGGCTTACAACATGATAAAATACATTGAAATACAATAGTACATAATAAATTACCATTAAATATAACAATACAAAAAATACATTGATTTACAAATACAAAATTAAAATTATCAGTATAAAATAAAAATATAGGAGGAGAAAGAGAAGGAAGAAGAAGTTGCCCAGGCCAGATCATATGTTTTAACAATTGAAATGATGTTTAAATAAAAAGGTCTTTACCTGGCGCCGAAAAACCAGTAACGACGGTGCCAGGCGGACCTCTTTGGGGAGTGAATTCCATAGGTTGGGCGCCACCGCAGAGAAAGCCCTCCTCCGGGTACTTACTCTCCTAATTTCTTTCATGGAGGGTTCCCGGAGAAGGGACTCTCCCGCAGATCTCAAAGGGCGGTCGGGCATATACGGACGTAAGCGCTCGTTCAGGTAGCCAGGACCCAAGCCGTTTAGGGCTTTGTAGGTCATAATCAACACCTTGAATTGGGCCCGGGCTTCAATGGGAAGCCAGTGAAGCTGATGGAGGACTGGAGTCATGTGAGCATAACGCCCCGTCCCCGCCAGCAACCTGGCAGCTCTATTTTGCACCAATTGAAGTGTTCGGACTGTCTTCAGGGGAAGCCCCACGTAAAGCGCGTTACAGAAGTCTAGGCGGGAAGTCACCAGCGCGTGTGTCACCGTCGCCAGGCAGTCGTATTCCAGGTAGGGGCGCAGCTGATTAATCAGCCGAAGCTGAAGGAAGGCGTTCCTCGCTACCGCTGTCACCTGAGCTTCCAAAGAAAGCTCCGGGTCGAGGAGTACACCTAAGCTGCGGACCTTATCCCTAAGAGGGAGTGTTGCACCATTCAGGACCAGGTCAAATCCACCCTCTCCGAAACCCAATCCGCCAACCAACAGGACCTCCATCTTGTCTGGGTTGAGTTTCAGTTTATTGGCCCTCATCCATTCCCTTACCTTGGCCAAGCACCGGTTCAGCACAGCCACTGCCTCACCTGGATTAGTGGAGAATGAGAGGTAAAGCTGGGTATCATCAGCGTATTGATGATTCCGCAGCCCACACCTCCTGATGACCTCTCCCAGCGGTTTCATATAGATGTTAAATAGCAGAGGGGATAGAATGGAGCCCTGTGGTACCCCATGGCATAGCTGCCATGACGTAGAGACATGGTCCCCCAGCACTACCTTCTGGAATCGACCGTCGAGATAGGAGCGGAACCACTGCAAAGCAGTGCCTCCAACCCCCAATCCCGCAAGTCTATCCAGAAGGATACCATGGTCGATGGTATCGAAAGCCGCTGAGAGGTCCAGAAGAACCAACAGGGATGTACTCCCCCTGTCCTTCTCCCTGCACAGGTCGTCGTACAGGGCGACCAAGGCAGATTCAGTACTGTACCCGGGTCTGAAGCCGGACTGAAAAGGATCCAGATAATCAGTTTCCTCCAAGAGTGCTTGGAGTTGTCCCGCCACCACTCGCTCCAGCACCTTGCCCAGAAACGGGATGTTGGCCACAGGTCTATAGTTAGTGGCCATCTCTGGATCCAGTGACGCTTTCTTCAGGACCGGTCGTATTACCGCCTCCTTTAAAGGGGCAGGCACTCGACCCTCCCTCAGAGAAGCGTTAACCACTTCCAAAATCCAGGTCCCAATCCCGTGCTTGGAGTTATTTATTAACCAAGACGGGCAAGGATCCAATAGGCACGTGGTGGGACGTACTCTTCCAAGCACCTTGTCCACATCATTGGGCCGCAATAATTGAAATTCCTCCAGTAATTTTGGACCAGACGGTGGCATTGGCGACTCCTCAGAGACCTCTGATTCATTAGTGGAGTCCAGCTCGTGACGAATCTGAGCGATTTTCTCCCTGAAATGCCTGGCAAAGTCATCACAGCGGGCCTTTGAGGGTGGCATCGGATCTTCCTTAGGACCCAGGCGAACCAGGCCTTGCACCACTCGAAAAAGCTCCGCTGGACGGCATTGTGAGGAGGCAATGGAAGCAGAAAAAAACTTCTTTTTCGCCGCCTTCACCGCCACAGCATAGGCCCGATAGTGGGCTCTCAAGTGTGTTCGGTCAGATTCATCCCGTGATTTCCTCCACCTACGCTCTAGCCGTCTCCCAACTCGCTTCATCGCCCGTAATTCAGGTGTATACCAAGGGGAAGAGCGGACTCTGCCCGGTGGGAGAGGACGCTTAGGAGCGATTGTGTCCACAGCCCTGGTCATCTCTCCGTTCCACAGTTCGACCAGAGCCTCGACAGGAGCACCAGTCTTGTCAGCCGGAAATTCCCCCAGGGCCCCCAGGAATCCATCCGGATCCATCCGGCTCCGGGGGCGGGCCCATACAATCGGGTCCGCACTCTTATAGAGGGAGAGGCCGCTCTCGAGCACAAACCTCACCAGGAGGTGATCTGACCATGACAGGGGAGTCAAACATAAGTTCTTCACCCTCAGGTCATCCTCTACCTGCCCCGTCGTGAATACCAGGTCCAGAGTGTGTCCACGTTCATGGGTAGGGCCAGTGACGTGTTGAGACAGGCCCATGGCCGTCATAGAGGCCATGAAGTCCTGAGCCGCCCCGGTCAGCCCAGACTCGGCATGGAGATTGAAGTCCCCCAGGACCAACATCCTGGGGGTCCTCAACACCAGATCCGAGACGGTCTCTGTCAGCTCAGATAGGGAGAATGCTGGGCAGAAAGGTGCACGGTACACCAATAGAATCCCCAATCTGTCTCGTTCGCCCAACACCAAGTAGAGGCACTCCAGCCCTGGTCTCAAAGGGACCAGAAGACCCGTGAGAGAGATGGAGGCTCTGTAAACCAACGCGACTCCCCCTCCCCTCCCTTCTGGGCGTGAACAGTGTTGAACCAGATACCCGGGCGGGCACAACTGGGAGAGGGCAACATCCCCTCCCTCTCCCGCCCAGGTCTCCGTTATGCAAGCCAGGTCAGCCCCCTCATCCACAATCAAGTCATGGATGAGGGAAGATTTATTATTGATCGACCTGGCATTGAGCAGCAGCACTGTCAGACCCGGGGGGTGGTTGACAAGGCTACCTGGCGCCCTCTGGTTGGGGGCAGGATCAGAAGGAGGGACAGGTGTCAGCCATCTGTCCATCCTTCTTCTACGTGGACACGTTAAGCCCCTATTGTTGTAACGACCATTGCCCGTGACCACGCCAATAGCAGCCCCCGTGGGTTCCCCAGGATATATAAACGTCGACATGGCCAGGAATGACTCAAAGCACTAATTAAAGCAGGGTAAGATTATAAAGTAGGTCGGAGGAGGAGAAAAAGAACGATAAAAAGAAAAAAAAGAAAAAAGGGGATCCTTCCTCTTCCCTGAGAATCAGCAGTAGGCAAGCCTATTTCAACAAGAGTCCATGGCCAGCCCAGCCCCCCTCTCGTCCCCCCGAACGGCACCCCAATTATGTGCGTGATTGTAATGAAAGTCTTTAAATGTACCTATCAAAAATGCATCTCTGCCAAATGTAACCCAGTACTGTTTTAACTAATCTAATTTTATGATCATATGCAAATTTGAATCTTCCCTTTGCGTGGGCAGACCTGGTAGCTATCTCAGGTAAGCTAAGCCCTTCTTGTTTAGTTACTTGGGCTGAGAGAAGAGTCTGCACTTATAGAAGAAATGTAAATAGAGCTGCTAGGTGCTTATATATAGCAGTTTTGTGACAGGAGATAGGAAATGACACAGAATGTGATATTAGATATTGAATCCAACTTCCTAAGATTATCATCTATTATTTGAGGTAAATTACAATATTATTTTCTTTATGGGAAAGAACTGTTGAATAGTCAGATGGATAAATGAGTAAAACTCCTATGACTGGGTAGTGCCCTGTATAAGTGTACAAAATCATATATATTGCAAAGTATATAATTCAAAATAAGAGAAATTGTAATTTCATTTCCATTTGGATAATTTGCAAAAGTTGCAGGATTTATTTGCTCTTGAAAAAGAGTCTGGAGTGCCAGAAAATCTTTTCAACTGGCATTCATAAAGCTCTGCATTTGTTCCAACCTTGCCATTGGGATGAATCTTCTGTAATTTTATCATAATTAATTGCAAGCTTACTTTAACAGTGCAAATGGCTTAAAAATGGGTACCTAAAGGCTCTCTTTTCTCATAATGGGATAGAAAGAGGGAGCCTTTTAAGTTAAGTGATGATTTTTAATCTTAGTTTTCTTACCTGATTTCTGAAAATTAAGGCAATAACACCACCAGTTAGTTCAATGAGTAGACATACTCCCAAGATGTACATAAACTGCAAAACAATTGTTAAAATGTTATATAAACTTGCAAAATCCAAATTTCTTTGTATTGAAATAAATAATGTTCAACTTCCAACTAACTTAAGCAATTTCTAGGATTCTTGTAGATGGTGTATTGCCATTCAGGTGCACATGACAGAACATTCGCATTGTGGTGTTGTCTCTAACCTACTGAGATGAGAAGCACCGCACAGGAAGCCAGGAGAACCTTCTTGAATGTGTCACCTCAATCAGGCCCCTCTTTCGGGCACAGGAATAGCTGTCATAAGTACAGGTTAGGTGATAAGTGGCTGGAGAGCAGCACTTGTGAAAGGGACCTCGGGGTGCTGGTTGACTGCAGGCTAAACATGAGTCAGCAGTGTGATGCGGTGGTCAAGAGGGCGAACGCCACCCTTGGTTGCATAGCCAGAAGTGTGGCTTCTAGATCGAGAGAGGTATTACTACCACTCTATGACTCTGGTGCGCCCGCAACTGGAGTATTGTGCTCAGTTTTGGGCCCCTCATTACAGAAAGGATACAGCCAGGTTGGAGTCAGTGCAGTGTACGGCCACAGGGTTGGTGGCCGGTTTGCAGGGGATGCCGTATGAGGCGAGACTGAGTGAACTGGGTCTCTTCAGCCTGGAGAAGAGGTTCGGCGGGGATATGTTGGTGACATACAGGTATGCGAGGGGATGTCACATGGAGATGGGTAGAGACCTGTTCTCCACTGCAGAGGAAGTCAGGACGCGCTCCAACAGAGCAAAGCTCAGGGAGCCAAGGTTCCGTTTGGATGCCAGGAAGCACTTCCTGACAGTCAGGACCCCGAGGGTGTGGAATGGGCTTCCACGAGAGGTCGTTGAGGCCCCATCGGTGCGGGTGTTCAAGGATAGGCTGGACGTACACATGGTGGGCATGTCGTGAGCGGAGCCGGCTGGAGCCAGGGGTCAGACTAGATGGCCCGGGAGACCCCTTCTGACTCGCTCTGTTTTCTATGTTTCTATGTTTATCCTCTCCAGCTGTTCTAGCGGCTCCAGCGGCCTGTGTCATCTGTGAGGCAATTTGATGCTCAGTTTGATGGGCTGAAACCACCAGTCACCACAATATGGAGTCAGAGCAAGGAAAAGCTTTCTTGCTGTTGCCTTTAGAGGGCAAGGCAGCAGTACTGGCACTGTATTGTACAACTGGCACCAGGCAAACGCACAGTTGCTAAGTGGACAGTTGTCCTAGTCCAGGCTATTGAAGCAACTCACCATGTTCCACATGGTGCTGGCCAAAGTATCCCCTGCCTCCACTTATGCTGCCCTATAGCTAAAGGGACATAAGTTCTGCAGTGTTGTCTAGCAAACTGCCTGAATGTAAAGATGCCAAAGGAAATGAAGCTGTAGAAGCCGACTCACTTCCTTCTTTTTCTCATGTACAATCTTCAAACTTCCACCTAAATGCCTTCTCCTTTACTAGTTTATTTTAAATGCATTTGACAAGTACTGATAATTTTCCTGTTTTGCACGATACTAAAATGACCGTGAATGTTTGACACAGGCTAGCTGTATTTTTCCCCCTTATACCAAGATCTCTTTCTTGACTTCCTCTCTAAAATTTCACCAGCAAGACAGTTTTGGAATAGCATGCTAGTGAATATCTATAGAAACCCACAGAACGTTACAGTTTTTCACTTTTCTTAAAGATATGGGCTCGTTTGTTCTGTTTTAATGTTTTGGCAATAAAATGCATTTTTAAAGAAACTAAAAATAGCAGACTCTTCCTGTCACATCAACACCATTCATTCACACAAGGCCAAATTTGGAAAACAGATAAATTGGGAAAAGAAAACAAAATCTTCTGGTGTCCTGGAGATATTGTTCAGAAGGAAGAACAAGTTTAGACTTGAACAATCAAGAGTGATCAAGGAATATTCAGTCTAAGATATGTTGGTAGTACACATAAAATAATACTTAAATATTTGGATTGCTTTACTGATAAGGAAGAGGATGTTTTATACACAGGAATGTCTTTATGTAAGTTCAATTATATTTGCACTATAAAAATCAGTCCAGAGTAGCCCAATCACCAGTCTTGCCAACTCCCTCCAACCCCAACCAAATAATTTTCTCCCTTAAAAAAATCAAGTTGATGCAGCTATTTATAAGCTTATTCCAAGTTCATTAACTATGACTAATTTTACTTTGGAACAGTATTTCTCATCTAAACATCTATTTTATGGCATAATACTATAGAGGTTTGTAATATAATAGCATTTGAGCTACCTTGATTGTTGAAATAGCTCTTTTATCCTGCCAAACCTGCATCAGGTTTAACAACTACGCATTTTGAACTAAGTTATAATATTTTCCTGAAATGTATAACATCCATCCTCCAGTTTCCTGTTCAAGTCTAAACCTGTTCTTCCTTCTGAACAATATCCCTGAGACACCGAACTGGATACGCCGAACTGCAGAAGGTCAATAGGCACCTTTCATTGATCAAATTCCAATGGACAACAGACAAGGCCCCAACATATACCTTACTCAGTTCTGGTTTGTTAATAAAGAAGCTGTAAATTAACACATTCTTGTAAATCAAATTACTACATCTGACTCTGGCTTTTAACATCAAACTATGAAAAGGTTTCAGTGACATTTCATATGCCAGAATTTACATTTTTCTCAAATGCATAGTATTTTTATTTATCTGTTTTTAAGATTTGGACCCAAGGTTTCTCCAGAACCATGAGAGGAGTCATAAAATTAATTGCAATTATTCAGCACTGCTCCCACTAAAGTCATGGGCTTGCTTCTGGTTTGTACTGATTTGCATTGGTTCTGTAATTATCCATCTTGCCCTACAACCTCTCTCTGCTGTTTATCCAAGGAGAAAGTTACTAGATGAGCTGTCTTAAAAATGCTTACAGAATGGAGAACAAAATAGTCTTGCAGGCATTAAGTTCATTTCAAAGAGAATTCTTACAATACTTACTGCTTGAAGAAGGCATAAGTTGTCCCTTAAGGAAGCCAGCACACCCACAAAGGAAACAACGAACATTACAATACCCAGGAGTATTAGAATGATTGCTGGGGCTAAGAAGGCACTTTCAAGGGTTTTATATTTTTGTCTTTCAACTTCTGCATAAATGCCAACACCTAGGACAAAAGCTCCTAGCAACTGTAATAGAAAAAGAGAAAACATTGTATGTTGGTGTTGTTATATTCACAAAACCAATAGATACATGCTAACCTGACTTATTAAAACTAAAATACAAATTACAGTATATTTCATAGGGCAAGAATACTAAAGGGATCTGGATAGGTGAAACTGAAACTTTGACCAAGTACAGCCAACTGACAAACCTAACATAGAAGGTTATTTTATGTGGCCCCTGAATCAATGACAAAGTGGGCACAGCATATTTCAAGCAGACCATGTGTTCAACATAAGTGAACTGCTGTGTACTTGAACTGATAGCACAGGAAACAAGGTGCCAGTACTTTGGCCTTAGCAAAACATCTAATTACTTTTCAATAGTTCTCCTGCCAGAAAGGCCACAGAAAGAACTGAAAGACCATTACTTTAAAAGGACTACTTCAGAGACTCCAATATTTGCCTCAATTCATTCTAAGAGCTGTCCATTGTGCAGAGAAGCAGATATATAACATATACACATTCTGATTTCAGTTCTCACAGGTTGCCAAACATTTGCTGTGCTACAGACTTTCCCCTTAGACACGAACTCAGACAAACCACTACTTACAGGGGATTGAATGTATCTACTTACTCAAGAAAATCTCAACAGAGTTTTATTTCAAGGTTTTATTTGCTTGCTTGTTTTTTGAGCCTGACAGTTAGGGCTAGGGAACCTCAGGCCTGTGAGCCAAATTTGGCCCACTGGACCACCCATCTGACCCTCAAACCCTCTCCCATACTCCTGTCACTTATGAATTGCTACTGACAGAAATACACTGCTGAGCTATGGGCTACAGTGGTCTGATTCACCATGACATTTCTTAGTTCCTCATTCTATTTGAAATAAAATTTAAAATACTGTTGTAAATATTATTTTCAGCACTTATTTACCCATATTGGGAAACTAAAGAAAACTAATGGATGCTACGTGATCATCCAAGATATTTGTCATATAAGAGAGGATCCATACAAAGGCTATATAGTCCAACCTTCTATTCTCACACTGACCAATCACCTTTTAAGCTTATTCTCCAAGATTGGGAAGATCCTTTCTGAGCTCTTCACAGTCTTTCTGTTTTATCCACCCTGAATCATTTCATGTCATCAGCACTCTGGCCTGCCTTAACTTCTCACCCCTAATTCCAGATCATTTATGAAATAGCCCCAATACAGAACCTTTAGGGACTCCTATATTTGCCTCATTGCATTCTAAGGGCTGTCCATTTATTCCAACTCTCTGCTTTCTGCAAAGAAGCAAATACATACATACATACTTATTTCATCCCTCAGCAGTTGCCAAACATTTATTATATGGAGCTGACTTGTTCTGTGTTGTTCCTGAGGGTAATTTGTAGCAATTTCAGAGAAGTGGATTTTAACTAAATATTAAGAGAAAACTCAGAACAGTAAGAGCTATTTAATAGTGAAACAGACTGCCTTAGGAGCTGGTGAGCTTTTTTTGCTGGAAATGTTTGTGCAGAAAATGGACAGCCATCCACCACGGATGCTGTAACTGCATCTGTAGATCCTGCTTTGAAATAGAGCTGCACTAGATGACCTACAAAGATACTTCTAATTCTAGGGTTATGAAGAGAGGCCATAACAATACGGATGTTCTAAAAAAATACTGTACTTATAGTCTGTGACTACAGCTTATGTTTTGTTAGGAAACCCTAAGAGATGCTATGTAGTAAATAGGACGATTTCCTTTCAAGATAGTAGCTTAAAAATAAATATACATAAACAAATAAAAACAGTCTATTCTCATCTCACATGTTATTTATTACATTCTTATTCATTTGTAGACACACCAATATTTAGAACACATATATAGCACGGTCCTTTATCTAGCTTCCTTTTCATTCTATGGATTTTATGGTGCTAAGACTCCGTTCTTTGTGTACTTTGATACAAAACTGCAGATAAGTTTAACCTATTTACCTAACTGAAAATAATATGGGCACAGTTACAAAGGAAACTATACAAGTAATCATACTGATATGCAATATTTCTCTACACAGCCTTGTATAGCAGTGCTGTTCTGACTCTGTATTAGAAAGGCATAATTACATTGCTTGTTCTCTTACAGTATTCAAATTATGGATATAATACAATAAGGAAATATAATAATAATATTTTATAATTATACTGTTATGCAACATAACATCTTGCTCTTGAAATATTCTAGTAAATCTATTTCATGTGCTATGCATTCTGTTTTTCTCAACACTGGCAACTTGTCTATCGTTATCTATTTTAGGTTACAAATAAGCACATATTCCCCTATGTGCCATATTAAAATTCAAAGACCCATCTCTGTACACCACATATCCTGTAACGGTGAGTTTCTAAGGATAAGAGCAAAGCCTAGAGCAGGAGAGTAGTGAGGGATACAGTCAGATTACAAAAGCAGCCTCCCAGAGTTTGTGGACTGGTCAGTCTCAGACCTACCAAATTCAGCAGTAAGTGAGCATTCTGCCAAGCAACTGGATACAGTACCATAAGAAAGATGCTGCTGTGAGGTGCAGAATTGTGAATGGGGGACACTTTTCCATCCCCACCATTTTACTGTTCCCTGTCTGAAATATAGGAACAACAGTTATACCAGCTGAATATGAAATGTAAGGATCGCTTGCAAAGAAGTGTCTGGGCATGTTTGTAATATAAGGAAAGAGTTTATGCTCTTTAAGCAGCTTGGTCTCTTTCTGCATGTATGGAGTGGGCACGCTCCTATATTCCAACTGAAGCCCCTGAGAGAGGTAGCACATTGGAATAATTCCCCATTCAACCCTTGTTTACAGAGGTCTAGAAGGGCTTTAATTTTAAAAAGAAGAGAATATCAACTGCCACTTTGTAGTGCCTATTTTCAACTACTGCCCAAGTTATTTGACATGATCTTAAGTAGCTCAAATATAAGCAGTACTTGTCAGACTACTCAGTGCCTTGTTAATAAGTAACATAATGTAGTAAAATGACAGAGAACGAAAAAACCCCTGTCTTTAGGTGTTTACTCAAGAAAATAATTGAACTGTTTCAGGGAACAAGCAAGCTTTAAAAAGTGCCCCACTTATATTTTCACTGACAGAATATTCCAGTGAACGCTGCATGTAAAAATAAAATCTCATAAAAATCTCAACCAAAAAAAGGAAATAGCACAGGAACTTATTATCTTCCCCTGCAAAAAAGAAAGCAAAATAGAGGAAGTCTGGAGATTTTTAAATAATTTGAAGAAAGCAAGAGAAGGATGGAATCCCCCATTAAACCATGAAGACAAGCAAATCGATAGACATGATTTGGACTATTTTTAACCAAAGTAAATATGGTTCACTAAAGTCACCCTTCCAAACATGCTTTATTGAATAAAGTACATTATGAAAAGGAACGTCTAGATTCCTTGGCAATTGGCATGAGGAGAATACAGTGGCAAGGGTTTTACAGATAGAAGTGCAATATACATACAGTTTTTACATGAAGAAAATATAAAGCCATCCTCTCCAACCTCCCACCATTGCTCCTTTCCTTTATTATTTTTATAGCCCCTTTCTTTTCTTTAATGTACTGGTGTATTCTGGATTACTTTACTGTCAGCAACACCCACCCTGTTAAATTACTGAAGACACAGATTGTGCGAAAATAACATGGCTAAGTAACATTTTGTTATTCTGATACTGAGCCAAATTTGTGCTTACAGATCCCCAGGCACAAATCACATCCTGTAGATATATCTCAGAAGACTCAGATTTAGAGAGATCACTAGAATTTTGCAGCAGCAATCCTGAAACAGCATTATAATTAAACACCTGCCTCTATTAACCTCACGCCTAAAATAGCACTGGAGAGTAGCAAAATGGCTTTTAATCTTAGTCACAACAAGAACACAGAAATAGTGTAGTTGACACAGACTCGGTTTGCAGAAGAGGACAACCCACTGTGGGTGAAAAGCCATAGTAAGTTGTTGCACTGTGTAAACTCGACCATTTCCTGCAGGCTGGCTTGTTCATGGGCAACAAACTATCCTGACAAACCAAGACTTGTGCTAAGAATTGGTTCACCTATTTGTGGCATCCACACCTGGCCAACCATTCCCATTATGGGTAAAGGGAAGCAACATGTGTACCTCTTGGCAAGAGTGGCAAAAATCACCGTTTTCTAAAAATTAGTTGCTCATGTGGATCTTTGTAACCAAATGGCATTTAAACCATTTAACCAAGCCAATTAATTAACTAAACACTGCAACCATTAACATTTAGTGGAGACTAGTGGTGCCAATGTTAATGGCACAATATATCCACTCTGAATTTTGGTCTGAACTGCAAAGAAGCTATCCATGGTTCTGAATTCTATCCCCACAATAGGATTGTGGGGTTCAGAGTACAACCTGAGTACTCACACTGGAATCCCAAGCCTCCAGTGTTAATATTGAGCAGATGCAAACACAATTATAACAATTCTCCATTTAAACTGAATCTTTATTGAGTCCTCTCGTTCCATAAGCAACAATGACCTCTTCAACTCACTTCAATAAAACACAACACTATATGGACAGAGCAACTGATACCTAAGCTTGCAGTGCATGTAGGTTACTCACTGCTGAATTAGTTCAATACTGCCCATTAATTTCAGGTATACCACAAGCAGATATCTTTGATATTTGAACTTTTAAAAAATGTGCTGCTATACCAGCTACACAAATTCTCAGATTTTATTGTCCCTGTACTCTGCAAATAAATCAGCTCATGGACAATGCATAGAAAGACAATCTTTCATTTGATATCATTTTATTCCAAAAATAATGTATACTATTAGCTTTGTTTTATCATTGTATTTTATAAAAAAAATCCATCTTTTTAAAATTAACCAGTTGAAAAGTGTTTCAATTATTGGACAGATCTTCCATCATATGAAGCATAAAGGCTACAGACCAGTCAGAATCAACCTGGAAAAATATGTGTTCACCTTTTTGCCACATATAAACCCCAACCCTTTCCCCCAAGAGGATTGATGCCTATTTATAATTTGTATAGCTCAGTTGTATTTTGGCTATCACATAAATAAATAAATATTACACAGCTGGTAAACTGAGGCATAGGTTGAAAGAGGGTAGCTATTTAATTCCAATTAATCAACATCATGCAATGCTAATACTTCAGCATCAGAAAGGGCATTATCAGCTTAGAAGAATTCGGGCATCCAGTCAAGCACAGCAGGAACACGTATGCAAGGGTCACTGGCGTATTTCTCCTGCCCTGCAGAAGGCAGAAATGACCAATCTGAACGATCCATGTCTTATGCCTATGCTCGCAAAAAGGAAGGATAAGGCACTGCTGGAATTCCTTGTATCCTGACAGCCTCATTCACCCAGCACCAGCTCCAAACATGCACTTGCAAATTCAGAACTGCAGCTGCAAAGAAACTACTGCACCGGCTGCAAGGGTGGAAGAAGAGCCCTCCAGCGTCCAAGTCCCTCCTCCAACCTTGGAAATGCATTTCTAAGGTCTAGGTTGGGACTCCAGCATCTCCTGTGGCCAGCCTGACACTATCTAGCAGCCAAAGGATTGTGTCTTTAGAAAGCTTTTCTGATAAATTGTACTAAGGAATAAAAGTGCATTTCCTGAGAGCAAAGTGAAAAGTGAATCTCTTTCCTAGCATTTGAGCGGTTTACATGGAGGAAAAACAATTGTCTCATGCCCTATGGTGGCTTTTGGGCTTGCTGCACTGAATGAATGGACTGTAATTGTTTTGCCAGACTAAAAGTTTCATGTCGGTTTTCCCACAGAAACCCAACTGTGACTATGTTAACCTTTGAGGTAACCTGCAATATTCTTTCTCTCCCCTTTAACGTTTTTTAAAAGTTAATCTGGTGATCGATTTATTTTCATTTTCACTGAACTGTTCAGGAAGGATCAAAAACCTTTCAGGATGGACAGACTACTAAGTAGGCGTGCCTGTGCATTCAGCAAATTCCCCCAAACAAAACGAAACAAGCATTTTATTTTTTAAATATTTTAACAACCCTGCCAGAACTTTCCAATTCCCATAGGCATGCTTCCTTCTGCTCAATGCAATCCTTCTCCACCCTTTGCCTTAGTCACCGCCATAAAAAACCACAAGCACCTGTTGCTAACAGGTCGCCCAAGTTCTGAAAGCAGCTTGACAAAAATACAGGACTTTTCCTCCGAGCGCGCGTCCCGGCCGCCCGCTGCCGGGGGAGGTCGGCGACGCCCTTGCAGCAGCCCGCAGGCAGGACGGAGCGACGCGCGCGACCGCCTGGCCGCTCCGCGGCGCCCCCGTTTCCCGGACGGCCACCCCTCAGGCCGGCGCGCACCCCCTGGGTCGCATCCAGGGTCCGTCCCACTGGAAGGAGCCCCGCCGGGGCGATGGGATTACCGTTCCCTCCGCTGCCCTGCTCCACCCACCCCGAAGCGCCGCGGGGACCCGCGCGGCCCCCGCTCGCCGCACTCACCCAGAACACGGTGGAGTAGATGGTGAGGCTGAACTTGAGGCACAGATAGGAGAAGCGCGCGCAGTAGCGGACCTGCTCCGACTCTCCCGCCATCCCGCGCCGCCGGCCGCGCTCCGCCGCCGCAGACTGGCGCCTCCTGCGTGTGCCCGGGGCCGCCGCGCTTCCTGCTCCGGCTGCGGCAGCCGCCACCTGAGCTTCCCCGTGCCAGGCCACGAGCGAGGCGGCGCGCTGTCGGGCTCGCCGAAAGCGGCCGGCCCGTCCCAGGCGGCGGGCGGGGCCTGTGGCGCCGAGAGCGGCGTGAGGCGAGAGAAGGACGCGCCCTGGCGGGGCTGGCGGAGGCGAAGGCCGTGCTGGCTTCTCGTCCTCTGTAGGGCGGATGGTTAAACTGAAATGATGCCGTTTAAACCCGTAGATTGATGTCGCCCGCACGAAACCAAAAAGGCAGTGCTCCTGAGCTTACTCGGGAGTAAGGCCCAGCGAGGGGGGCACTGGTAAACTATAGAGTAATAGAGGAGCTGGAAGGGACCGGTCATCTAGTCTGACCCTCTCCCGTACATGTCTGAGCAGAAGTAAGCCTTCGTTGAATGCCTGTCATGTATATGTAAATACTCTGAGGCCATGGAAAGGCAGAATTGGGGCATTTTACTCCTCATCGTGGCATGCTGCAAGAACCATGCTGGATTAGACCAGAGAGCCATCTAACCCAGCATTCTGTTCATAGAGGGCCAACCATCTCCCCACGTGAAACACACAACAGGACATGAGTGCAACGTTTAAACCTTTAACTGCAAGAAGGATGAACTTTCTCCAGTTTGAGCTAATCTGCACGGATCACTCAAGGGCAGGGGAAAGAGGTCTGTGTGGATGGTGTGTGTTAGAGAATGGTTTACTCTTGGCATGCAGCCTCCAGAAAATTTCCTTGGTGGCAGTCAAGCCCCAAATAATTCCTCACTCCTGCATATTGACAAAGGATGTTATTTGGAAGGTTATTTGTTATTCAGCACTGAACATACTCCGGAATAAGCATGCACAGGAATGGATTACATGTTCAGAAATGGCTTTTTATGGAGCAAAAAAAAGGGGGGGTGTCTCTCTGTACTAGTTTCTGGGAAACCTGGGCAGGAGGGTACATTGAATTCATCTCCTTGAAGTGAACATTCTGTAAGCATCTAGATTGTTTCAGTCTGATCCAGCACTGCTTTTCTTACATTTACAAAGAAAGTGCTTAGAGGTTTTTTGTTTTTGTTTTGCATGCCTGCATCTGTAAAATTAGATAGGGAAAGTAAAGTGAGTGGGTGATTTAAGGAATGGCTTTTTTACCCTTCTTGTCTCACATTAAATTTAAAAGCGCCTCATAAGTTTATTTCATTTTTAGCCAGAGAAGTCTTTGGGGCAGATACTAAAGCCAGAAAAATACCCCAAATGTCAAAACAAACTCATTACAGTGGCAATGCTTTGCATCAATATCTAAGAAGACGCCCCACTGTACACAGTGGACCTTCAAAGTAAATATGTGTACGACTGTGCTGTGAGGTTGTATATATTTACCAAACTCCAGGATTAATTCTGATTAATTCTTCATAGGACTTATCTGCATAAAGCAGACTTCCCCACTGCAACTCCCTGGAATGCTAATTGGAAATTGTAGTGCAGCAGAATTGGAGGACACCAGATTGGGGAAGATTGACATAAGGTGGTGTTAGCATCACTGTGGGCACTAGCACTTACCAAGACATTTTTCTGCCTGAAATAGAGCAACAAACATTGCCTTCTTCCAACCCATCGAAGTCAAGGGACATAGTGCCTAAATTGCATGATACAGAGCATCCCGCAAGTGACTGTCCATAACTCTGACCTTGAAAATACCACAGCAGCAAATTAAAGAACACTCAAATCTATTGCTGGGGTAGCTGCTTCATTCTGCCAAATACTAAGTAGTGGTGGAAGTGTTGTCACAGTAGTGCCATAAAAACCTATGAGATTGTGCAAGTAATGTGATTTTTCAAGTAATTATGTTTAGAATGGAGATGTTACATTCAAAGTAGTTTTGTGATGCCAGATAGCACAGGGGGCTGTCTCTTCATTGCAGTTTTTTCCTTTGAGAAACAGTATGTAATCTAAAATCAAACAGGCGGAGGACCTCTCACATTATCAAAAACATATTCTGTAGGTCTATTCTATAAGGACCTCTCACACAAAAGTTCCAGTTTTATTGCCTGCATTGTGCAACTGACTGTTTACTGTATAATAAACAGTAAGATGATGAGAATGATGAAAATAAGTAGTAGAATTTGTAGGATCAGCTGCACTGAAGCATTTATCTTAAGAAAACAAGAAAAATAGAATTGTATACAGTATTATACAGCATTATGTAGCAAATGTTGAGATAAAATGTGGCACATGGTTGATATTAACCTAGCTAGGACAGAGAAATGCCTCTCTCCAGCCCCTACACAAGAAAGCTATTTTCTTGAGGGATAATAGCTCATTGACATTGCCAACAACTGCTGAATGAGACCCATTTGCCAACAAGCCAGTGGATGAATGAAGGGATTGAGTCAAAACAACTTGCATTATAGAAGCTGTGAAACATGTCAGTGCCTGATATTAAGACATTTCAATGGTTGTCATGTATTCTTTCCGCATTAAGTATTTTAAGCAATCTAGGGCTAGTCTTTTTAAAAAAAACCCTTGTATTTACTATGCAGTTATTTTGCTTTACTTATTGTAACTCAGAATCTTACAACTATAGGGTCCTAAGCTAAATTATGCTGTGTTTTTATAAATGTTCCATTGTATAAAATTATAATGATTTGCTGGAATTCTATTGGACTTCCTACATGTGACCTTTCAGCAAGTTTTCTTCTTGGAATAGAACAGAACCTTTCTTTTCCAGAGAAGAGCACTTCCCCTTTTTAGGATCTGCCAGTAAAATGTAGCAAGTCTCTTTCATACATACTTGTCTGTATAAATATTTATTCCTCTTCTGAAGTATCAAGAATTCTAGCTGTGGCACAAATTCTAGCAGTACGCAAAGAATGTAATCACACATACTCATTGTTGGAAATACTATACAGTTATTTAATAAATTAATAAACAGAGCATATGTGAGTAAAGTTGGATCAAATGAAGTAGAGATGCTTGTATTTCACCAGCTATAGAATGCCCAATGGTTTTGGTCTTTTCCCTTTGTAACGTGTGACTGTGCAATATGTAGAAGTTTGACAAATATTTATATCATTATTTCCCATGTGAATTTTATGGGAACTAAAATATGTAACTACATACTTAAGTTTGTTTATCCATTAAGAACTTATTTACCTGAATCAGATTTGAGATGTGTTTTGGAATCCATCCAAGATTACCAGTGAGATGGGAAATCTCAAGATATTTTAAAATCTCAGAATAACTGGCAATAATATCCAAGTTAATACTTGAACAAACATTTAACAGACAGGGGATTTTGCAGGTGGTGGGTGTATGATTGCCTTTCTTTTACAATATATAGTGATCTTTTAATTATGTTGGATCCAGGTCCTAATGTAGATCCATGGAGAGCAGAACTTGTATTCTGAAATACTCGTAACCAGAGGCAACCAGGAACCATGGAGGTAAGTAACTTGGAGGGAAAAGGGAGGATCACTTTGCTCCTGTTTCATCAGGCTGCTTGGTAGATATAACTTTTGTAAGTAGCATTTACTAAGCCTTGCTAAGGTCTTCTCTTCTGCAGATAGTGTGGCTGGTTATTTTGACAAGCTGATTTATAAAGGTGGTCACATGTACTGAAATTTACTGACATCAATTAGCATATGGAGAAGTAGGACTAATAAATGTTGACTTAAGGTTGGGCATTGTTTGATTTTAAATGAATGCCTTGTAGTACCGGTTAGAATATACATTTTTCCTTATGGCAGTGAATGGTGCACTGACCAGACTTGCATTCAGAATAAATTTAGAATTCAAAAACTGCAAAAAGCCTTGTGGTACCTTAAAGGCTTACCAATTTACTATGACATAAGTCTTCATGGACTATACAAGGAGGGGACCCCCCTCCAAAAAACAACAACAACCAGGAATTATTTTCTGGAGGGCAGACCCCTTGTAGTACAGGTTTCCCACACTACGTGATTGTTCTAGGCACCCATCTGCATCAGTGTACCCAGCTGGGTTGATGTGAGAGGCTGCATTTAGCTTCAGTGAGGTTTTTTTTTAAGACTTTCAATACATTTGCCTACTTGGTGATGACTGATTTACACAAACAACGTGCAGCAGTGAAATTTTGTTCAGCTGAATGTTCAGCCGTTTTTGACCAAAAACGGCATGACCCTTGTGCCCCACCTTCCCTATTCATCCAATCTCACCCTGTGTGTTTTGTTTGTTTCCCTAGATGAAAAAAACCCTCAAGGGAAAACATTTTGCAGATGTGTAAGAGATGAAACAAAAAACTGCAGAAGTGCTAGAGGAATCAAAATCTATGAGTTCAAAACCTGTTTTAAGCAGTGGGCAATAAAGTCTCAATAGGTGTATTGCATCAAACGGAGAGTACTTTGAAGGTGACTGAAGTTTGAACATACATAAATACACAATTTTTATAAATAAATTCCTGGTTTTTTTGGGTGCCTCTTTGTATATACATGTTATGGCCCCTGTACTTTTTTGAAGCTGGACCTAGAGTTCATGAAGTAATGCTTGTTATTCTAATGTGCTGTCATCTCTGATATATTGTGACACTATGTATTTCCTCCAAAATGTCCTGTCATTTTTTAGACCTGCTCAGCTCTTGCAAATTCAATGCTGTTATAGTGAGTCTATCTCATATTTGGTCTTCCTCATCTATGTTCAACTGTCCCTAGCACGATTGTCTTCTCCAATGAGTCTTGCATCTCCTGATATGCCCAAAGTGCGACAGCTTCAGCATTGTCCTTCTTGTTTCCAAGAAAAGTTCTGTTTAATTTGATCTAGGGCCCACTTGTTCATCTTTCTATCAGTCCTCTCCTCCAGCTCCAGGATGGATAAAAATCAATGATAAAAAGATTTTTTTATTTAAATTGGATGTATGTTTAAATTTAAAATTATAAAATAAAGGAAAATCT